TATGGCCAATAAAGAGATGATGGACAAGATCGATAATCTCGATGTCCAATTTCGCAGTATGAGCGAGGCTATCGAAACATTGGGTGAAGGACTCGGCAATACCAAATCCACGGTGCAAGATTTAATGGAAACCATGAACCGGCGATTTGATGAGATGGCACGCACGGTACTCGACCGCCTGCCACCACCGCAGCAACGCGATCAGGCGCGGCGGCACGAGCGCGAGCGGCCTGAAGGAGAGGATCAGCGTCTCGAGGAGCGGGAGCGCGAGGACGACCTCGATCGGCAGTCCCAGGCGTCCTCATACCACGAACGTCCGAGGATCGAAAAGCCACGCATCACGCTGTCCACGTTCACAGGCAGCGATCCGGACGCATGGCTCCACAGGGCGGTACAATATTTCGAGCTTAATGAAACAGATGGTCCCGATCGCGTGAGGTATGCAGCTTATTATCTTGATGGTGAGGCCAACGTATGGTGGCAGTGGCTCACTAGGATCTACCGAAAGCGCCAGCAAATTATTACTTGGGATGTTTTTGAGAGAGAGTTGCTTACGCGATTTGGTACGTCCGATTATCATAATTACAATGAGGCTCTTACGCGCATACGGCAAACAAGCAGCCTACGCGAATACATTAGGGAGTTCGAACGATTAGCTTGCCGCGTGCGCGACTAGCCGGAAGAGGCACTAGTTGGCGCGTTTATCGGCGGATTGAAATTCGATTTGGCTGCTGAAGTACGGCTCGAGAGGCCCGACACCATGCATGACGCGATGGAAGTGGCCCGACGCCGGGAGGATCACCTGGTTGCAACTCGAAGGGGACGGGCGGACGCCCGGATTCCCGACGCACGTCGCACGGGCCCAAGCCAAGTACCCACGGGCGCTCGGCCTGCGGTCAATACACGGCCAGCGGGGGCATTAGTCCGACACCTATCGCCGGAGGAGGTCAAACGGCGACGTGAGAAGGGTCTCTGTTTTAAGTGCGAAGAGAAGTTTAACCCGGGGCATCAGTGCAAGCAAGCCTTTGTCATTGAGGAGGCCAACCCGGACGACAAAGAGGTTGAGGTCGAGGAGGAACCGCCTCAAGACGACGAGACTGAGGACTTCAGAGATGAGCCTGAAATCTCGATGCACGCTATGGCCGGGATACGAGGTCCTCGGACTATGCGCTTACCAGCTTGGGTCAAGGATCGAAAGGTGATGGTGCTAGTAGACAACGGGTCATCCCACAATTTCATCAACGCCGAGTTGTCTCAAAAACTGAACTTGCCAACTATGAATATTGAACCCTTTGAGGTACGGGTAGCCAACGGGGAGAGGCTGCAATGCACTAAGTCCTTCCGGAAGGTGCCAATCAGGTTTAGCGGAGTTACGGTGAAGGCTGAT